GCTTCCAGCTCACTCGTGCAAAGCAGCTTCCATCATTGAATTTGAAGCCATTAGGTTTTTCTGAACCAAGCAGCACTACTTCACCCGTACCATCTTCATTTCCCAATCTTCTTCTTCTTATGCACTTGGGTTTCTACTTCATTGCCCCATTGCCCATTAGTTTCTTCCCTTTTCTCTCAGTTTTCCTAGCTGCCAAACACTGGAGCAGGGTCAGTCTTCTGTCAGGTTGAGGTAGGTCTTTGGCAGGTGGGAAATGTGGGTTTGATTGTTCTGTTGCGAGAAGTGCTTTGATTATTGACAAGACTGTAGATATTTGTTGCTGTGTGTACAGGGACGGAGCCAATGGAGGACAAGGGGGGGCAGCCGCCCCCCTAAACTTTTGAAAAATAATTAATATGGCACTCTAACTTTTATTTGTTAAAAATTTTGTTTTTATAGTATGGATTTTAAGATCATTTTAAATGTAGAGAGAATATTTATGATCTAAATAAAAAATTTTCAAAAAATAAGGATATGATTTAAATAAAATGAGCTTTAGGAGAATTTAATTAATTACGAATTTGGGGTTCTTAAAAATTTTTTTATTTGTTAAACCTGAAAAAGCAAACTTTGATTTTTTATTTAATCAACTTTAAATGTACACTTTTCTTTAGCATTTTTTTATTTTCTCTGTTAATATTTTATATAATAATTTACGTTTTTCTTTAGTATTTTTATTTTCAATCTTAATATTATATAAAGCCTAAAAAAGAAAACTTTGATTTTTTATTTAATCAATTTTAAATTTACACTTTTCTTTAAAACAATATAATTTTGTGATTTTTTTCCTAATTTTTTAGAGATTTTATGAACAAAAATGCATTTCTTTTTTTTTAATTCATTCTTTAATTGATCATTATATGATTTATTACCATATTTTATTTTTTATTATAATAAATACATTCATTTCTAATCATTGTTAAGAATATATTAATACAAAAAATCACAAGTAAATCATTTTATAAAAAAAAATAAAATTTTAAAAAAATTAATATTATAAAAGATACTCTTAAAAATCCAAATCTTAATTTAATACTAATTTTTGCACCCCCCCAATTGATTTTTCTGGCTCCGTCCCTGTGCGTGCGGTGATTTCTTTTGGTGATAATGCGGCTTCATTTTCTGAAATTTTAGGGTTTTGGTTTGTGGGGTTGAATCAAAATAGTTACTTTGCTGCGTAGAG